CGTTGAACATGCCGCGGCACGTGGCCGGGACGTAAGCGCGACTTGTTCATCAAATTCGACTTGTCCACCAACCACCATGGAGGACGATTGGCTCGCCGAATTCGCGGACGCGTACGTTGGCGCAAAGGACACCGGTACGTTTTCTCGCATTTACACTATGCGTATCTGGTCCTGAGAATGCTATCTTAGCTCCCCGATCTTCCCCTGCTTCTCCATCTCCCACGACGCCGAGCCCAGCTACTACCGCCCCGGCGCGCACCAACAGCAATCGCCACAGTCCCACGCCCGACAAACAGAACAACCCTGCGCTTACGAATAGCGGTACGCCAGTTGAAGGACGTACTGGAGGTACTGGCGCGCCAAGCCAGGCCGGAGATGGCCGCCCGGCGAAGTCGACTTCGGCCGCTCCGGCACGTCCGGCACGTCCAACCATCTCGGCCATCTCGGCACCCTCCGCTTCGGCACGCCGGCCTGCCGGGACTTCGACTCAGCCTCCCATATCGCCCATCAGCGTCACGGACAGCAACGGCTCACCTGGACGCGGCTTAAACGCCAATCCTCCGCGCTTTAGAGATCGCGCTGGGTCGCAAGGCAGTAAGGACGTCATTGAGATAGGGTCTGATGGAATGGTCGAGCAAGGGCGGACACCGGGTGCGTAGTATCCCATGAAGAGCAGATACCTTCCTAACCTTTATGTATAGGAATTACGCTCAAAAAATACCACTACCCTCTGCCTCCCCACCTCACGGAGGTTCCGAAACCAGCGCGCACTCGAGGTGGATCTACGCATGCTGGGGATGTTGCGTTCTGGTCGGTATTCGGACAGCCAGGTATGTCATACATTCGTCACTAATGAATATGGCACTCATCGGGACAGATGGATTCGAACGGTGGGTCGAGGAAGTGGCTCAGGAACCTCTCGAGGCACCCGCACTTCCTCGCAACCTCCGATTCGCCGGCATGGAGCTAGCATGGGCTCACTCGTCAGCATACACACGGCACGTCTCCGATGCCAAACGTGCTGTCGCCGCTCAAGAGCTGATGGCACGCTCCGTGGAGAGTCTCGAGTGCTTACAGGCACTGAAGAAGGAGATCGGCGACTTGAAGTCGCTCGTAGGAGCCGATTCGGCCGCGCCGGCACCACGCTCGGCATCCCCGGCTCACGCGGCAGCTACGGCAGCTACGGCACCCTCGGCACCCTCGGCACCCTCGGCACCCTCCCTTGGACGTATGTCCTCCCGAACCGCCAGCGCTGGGCCTTCCGATTTGAAGAGATCTCGCAGGGAAGAGGAGGGGGAAAGCAATGCGCGTAAGGGAAAGAGGAGAAAAACCATTGATTAGCACTTAATACCAGATCAATATTGTTATAATATAATGTGATACATGCGCTATACTATATCTAACCGTGTGAACTCAAGCTACTACGTGGCGTCAATTGAACAAACACTTGCATGCGACGGGGCGTCAGAGGGGTTCTCGGGGTGTGCGGACTGGTATCGCGGGTGGGTGTCACGGGCCGGCTGCCGGGACCGGCAGCCCTGGCCGCCCAATTCGTCTCCGATCCCGTCACTTGCGTTTGAGAGCGTCTCCTGCCAACCGGACGAGGTTTAGGCTGAGGTCGGGATACGACAGGCCTTGCGGATGGCGCATCTGAGTCGACATCGTCCAGCTCCGATTGGAAGTTCTCCTCCCCCACATCTGTCTCCTTTTCCGACGTATCTTCGGCGTAGAGATCGTCCTCGTCTTCGTCGGCAAACCGGACAACGGAGTTTGTGCGACGCCGCTTGCGACTGCTCCGGCTTGCTGAGGCCTTTCGCTTGGCTGCCTTCACCCTACGCTGTGGCTTCGCTGGACCGGCCAAAGAATCACGAGCTCGTCTACGTCCGCGGGCGGCGCTGAGTGCAGCTGACACTGGAGGTGGAGTCGGAGACCGTGCCGCACGCGCAGGAAACGCTTTGACTGTAAGAGGAAGGGAGGGAACTATAGGAACGACCTTGTCCTTCCTCTTCCTCCCGGCAGCATTCGGCATGCCGTGCGCCGCCGGCTGCTCGGCACCCCGGTGACCGGCCACTTCCCTCGCTTTCCTGACCTTCTCCCTCGCCGCACGATTCTCCCGTATTCGTTGGGCAAATGTGGCCTCACGCTGATGTGCACGATAAATTCCCTCCTCTAACAATGATCGCGCGTGGTCTCCCTCCCTGAGAGTCATGATGGTACGAACAAGATCCGCTCTGAGGTCTGGACGGACGTTGAACACCCGTCGTATGGCGGTTGGACGAGGAGGTATGTCGCGGAATGTGAACTCCTCCCTTAAAGCGTCCAAGTACATATTCACGGCGCTCTCGATAGCATCTTTGCCTTGCTCTGCATCCAGGATTGAGTTACGCATCGTGGTCGGCTGATGTTCCTCGGGTAGGTCCAGCATATTGCTGAAATCGCAGTATGCCAAGGCCATCTGCAACAACAGCATTAGCCCCACCTCACGGGAGTGCAGCACACCGGGTGTCTCAAAAAGTGCCGACGCTGAAGACCAGGCGCTTTTCAGGTCGTCCCAGCCCTCCGTATCTTCTCCCGTGTGCATCTCACTCGGCAAACCACATCTCCCCCATTCCCAGCTTCCGAAGGTACGTTCCTTGCCTATGGGGACGTCTGCGAATGCGGGTTCTGGCTGTAAAGAAATCAACATGTGCCGAACCAGCCGGGACGGCATGCCGGCAACTCCGGCATGCCGTGTATCCACTCACCATTAATGTCATGAGATGGGCTAGCTCCGCGGCCCCTTCTACTGGGAAAATGCGGGTTATGTATCCACAGCGGCTAGTTGCAAAACGGTATCTGCATGACGGCGGAAGACCTGGCCATTGAGTCCTTCTATTTAATGCACGGACGGACTCGTAAAACCGTTCGAAGTCGTCCGTGAGGGCGTCTCGCCCCGATACACTGTCCCAGGTGCCCGCGTCCTCAGGAATAGTATCCATGATGATCGCCCAGTCTTTGTTCTTCTTCAATTGATGAGCATTTACCTTATTAAGCATCAGTATAAGCCCACTTTTCGATGTATATTCACGTACCGTCTGAGATGATTCGCTGACGAGAAACATCACCATAGCCAACATATACAACCATCCTTGCTCCCAGCCCAAAAAGCCGTCTCGCTCGTATGGTCGTCTCGACAGCCATTGACGCACGGCCATTATATCGCCATCGCCAATGAGAGGGGTGACAGCATCCCAAGAGATAACATCGGGTGGCAACAGCTGGGGATCCAGATCCTCGATTTGTTCCCGGCACGTATCATCACGCGGATTTGTCTATGTCACAATCAGTGAGGTTTCCAGCCGGCAGCCGGTTCGGCACTTACGGCAAGTTTCACCATGGCCTGTGCACATCGCACGGCAACAGCTCTTTCCCGTCCTTCCTTGACAAGCTGCAATGCAGTCAAGCAGTACTGAGCCCTTGCTTCGCTTGTCGTAGGCACGGAGCGTGGCGCCAGGTGGGAGTACTCCCGATCCTCGCAGCGTTGCAGCTCAGCTGGGTCCAGTAACTCGTCCTCCACCACGTTATTGCTGGTCGCTTCGTTCCCAGGCTCGTATAATTGCAGACCTTGTGTCAATAGAACCTCTTGTCCGCAACAGCCATAGCGATTGATGACTATGTTTGGGATGATGAGTGCGTCTTCGGCAGCCGGCGGCCGATGCCCGGCAGCCGGCGCGGCCGGTCTCGGCACTCTGGCGGTATGCACGTAGATATAGCCAGTTCGTAACCACAGGTCTATGGACGCCTCGCGATGGGAGGCTTTTGTATGGCTGGGTCTGTCAAATATGACATCCTCAGGAATGAGCTCTGGCGGTAAGAAGGCCGCCGGATTTGCGCCAAGCGCCTTCCATGGTACCTTGACCTTGTCGGACTTGTTCAGTGCTAGTTCTATGAGTCTGTCAGTATGACTTCCTCCACAACATGGCGCACACATACGGAACGCAGCTCGCAAACATTCTCCATAGAACGACTCCTCACGCTTCATGAAAAAGTCTGTGTTACTCAGATACAGCTCGGTAGGTAGCAGTACCCGCTTATTCTCGTCGTCAAACTTCAGTGAAATACCCGACTTCAAACTCCCCTTTAGCTTTTTCGTGAGTTTGATAGCTTCGCGCGGGATGGCTGCGGCTGGCGGTGCTGTCTCAGTCTGTGCAAGGTAGGCGGCTGAAGGGATTCAGCAACAGTCAACCTGTCATAGTACCAAGCTTACTGTATGATTTCTTAGTAAACTCCTCGAATCGAACTAGCACAGGGTCCCAGTTAATGTAGTCGGAAAGGCGTTCCTTGGCGAGATTTAGATCCTTAAAGTAGTCGATGCTGCCGAGCATTAAGACGTCGGCATGCCGGACAAACGGATCGACACTTACATTTCGGGCTTTTCATCGCTGCCGGGGGTGCCGGCCTTGATGAATGCTCCGTAGACACCGTAATCCCGCGACAACTCGAATATTACACCTTTCAAAAAGTGCGCTAGGTGGTTCTTCGCATTCCTGATACAGTAATATTTGTCAGTGACATACGATCCCAATGTTGTAAGAGATGTGCCCTACGCGTTCTTAATGTCTTGCGGGGGACCTTTATCATCCCACTCCCGCGCAAGTTCTTCATAGAAATCTCTCTCACACTTAGTCAACGATTTGAATAAGCGTGACTTGTACTCCGGATAGTGAGGGAAGTGGCCGGTTCCCGCCGCCGCGATGTCGGGGTGTTCCCGTTCGATCTCACGCTTGATCGTATCCATGTTACGGGCTGTAAACACTTTGTATGCGGTCCAGCGAGTACCGTGAGACCGTCTGAGAGCCTTAGACATATCCTTCGTTCCTTCCCGCCAGAACAATCGCCATGTATACTGAAAACTCATCAGCACATCTAATCATCAGGTCATCGATGCCGAAGGCATCATTTTCGGCACGCCCGGCATACTCGGCGCATCCGGCATGTCTGGCACTTCCGCATACGCGGGTTCCATGCTACTGAGTTTTGCACAGAAAAATGCCTTTCCGGAAAACACCAAGACAGACGAGGCGCACAGTAGGAGCACGTACCGCCTCCGTAGTTGAGAATCTCTCATTATCCTTGGGCTTCCCCACCCAGTTGTGATCCTTGTTCTCTAATAAGAAAACATCCCTGACAGTATCGTCCATCCAGTCCGCTCGTTCGCAGGCATCCAGTTCTGCCCATTCAAGAATTCGGGCCCGGCAGTATACGCGTTGGCTTTCCGTGAGGTCGTGGAGAACAGCATGCGTCAGGTCCATGACGGGGGGAGGGAGGCGTAACAACGCGTCGACTGAGGAATGACAGGGAATGACGGTTGACATGGGGCCGTCCCAGGGACCGTTGGCCCGCTCGTTTAGCTTCAAACGGCACTGCCGCCCGTGCCGGAGCTTTCCTTAATGGCAATTGATGGCCATCAGTATTACGTGACCGAGCGCCATAACCTATCTTGTGCTGCGTACCCATTCCCCCATGCACCGTCCACTTCATCGGAGTATATGCTACTTGAATAATGTGTTCAATACGCACACAGTCCTCTCCACTCGTTGCTGCCTGTCTCCCCGACACGGACAGTGTGCCGAAGTGCCGGCAGGTCGGCGGGCCGGCAGCTTTCTCCTTGTTTGTCTGTACGGAATATAATGTCTTGCAATATTTCCCGATCCCTGATATGCGGAACACTCACCGTATCATCATCAATGGCTGACAATCTTTGAGATAATATCCCTTTATGGCCTCTCACTCCGATGGTAGCACCTAAGATGTAGCCTAGCAAATGCTGATACTTGGAAATCTGGGGGTCTATATGCAGGTACCTGTACTCGGAGTGGATTCGAGAGGCAAGTGCACCAAAGATGCAGTAGTGGTGCATGTTCTTCTCGCAAATAGTATTGTAGCAATACCCGGATGGCAGTGCTGTTTACGACCGCCTGAATGCAGGTTTA